CGACAGTAGGGGTGACGCTGTGTCAAAACAGCGCATCTCTACTTGGATAGTGGAAGCAATCTCTATCGCTACGGAGGCCACACGGTCTCGCCACGCCTCTAGGCATAAGAGCTCATTCCACTAGGGCGGTCGCCTCCCCGAAGGCTCTGTCGAGAGGGGTGTCCTTACCACGATGTTGTGGCGGCCGCGGGGTGGTCTCTACGCCACAACGTTCATTCGTTATTACAGCCTGGATGTTCATTCCACCCCGGGCTCGAGTGTCTTGCAGTGACCCTCGGGCTTCGGTATTTTGGACAGGCCGTACCCTTGGTATGACTGAGTGGGTATTCCCGTTCCTCATACTGTTATGCTAAATGCAACGTCGAAGTTCTCTTTTTTGAAAGGAGACGTTGCGGTTATGTAACCCCTTTTCCCCCGTAGAAGGGAACGAGACGTTGCATAGCATTGTCATACCAGGGCAGGCCTGTGAATTACGTCTTCGCTTCAGATGATAGAGGCTGGCGGCGGGGTTCACGGGTGCCATGTGTATATCATGCGGTGCACTTAATTGCCACGTCACCTGATCATGGCAGGCCTATAAGTAGAGGCATGATTTTACACAAGCTTCAGATACCAGTCACGCGCGCAAGGCGCTCCCCCATACTGTTATGCTAAATGCAACGTCTCGTTCCCTTCTCAGGGAACAGGGTTACATACGTAACCCCGACGTTTTTACCTTTGTTTTCATGCAAAGACATTTATATTTAATTAAATATCCTTTTATAAAATATATCATGAACAACCTCAGATTTCTTAAGACAAACATGTGTAATTTGCTTCTGATTATCATTTACATATATGTGCATTACAACTGCTCACAGTGTTTGTACAAATGCAAAAAAAACTTCACAGGTATTTGTAACTAAAAATATAGTATTTCGCTTTAAAATGTATGGCATTGCATGAACAATAGGATTCCACCAAACCAAACTCTTTTGTAGTGAAGCTGTTGACTAACATTAAATTGCACATTTTTTTAACTATTACCCATTTATCTCTGTGAATAAATAGGAAGCGGTCCATTTTTCATGGAAAAATCTACACTCTGTATCCACTTGTCTGCTTTTTGCCAGACATTTTGGCTAATGATGGTGTGGGGACCAGTAGAAAATAGAGTAGACTACTCCGTGATAAACAGCAGACGTCGCATTGCTGCCTTCTGCTGTTCAATCCCAGAGATGTGCCGCGTCTTTTACCACCTAGCGGATAATTTAGGAATAGCATTTTATTAAAAACGACGAAATTTCGTGCCTTTTATGCACATTTTTTTTTTCACTTTCAAAATTCGTCCTGCGGGCCGGATTGAACCCTCTAGCGGGCTGGTTTTTGGCCCGCGGGCCGTACGTTTGACACCCATGCTTTAATACATGTTTTCTGTAGGCATAACATTGCTACTTTCATACACGGGCTTGCTTTCTGTTTATGTGAACCCATGTTATCACACAGTCTGTTATAGATTTTATTGCCATCATCTCATACAGTGTGACGTAATAATTATAAAAAAAAACCCCCCCGCTAAAATCACTTAGTATAAAACAGGCTTTAGTTTAACTGTGGCTGTTTCAATTTCTACCACTTTTCACAAGACCTCACAATCATACGGTATTTCAAACTGTCAGAAATTTCTGCATATGACATGAATCAAACTTTAATCTAAAATTGACAGTAGACAGTTTGGTTTCCTTGGCTCACAGCTATGCCTGGCATAGCCATGAATTCATATCATTTCATGATATGATAGATTCACCCTCTGGAATTAGCCATAGCTGATAAGCAACATGGGCTACACAATGTTGATTTCATTGGAGAAGTTAAGTAACATAATACTCACAGTGCTGCCTAGTTTTGTCTCAAATGGGTGTCAATCTTTTCAGCACATAGATAACAGCATTGTCCACTTTAATGCCATCAAGTGTCCATCTAGATTCCTTTATGTATGGTGCTGGAGCCACTGATAAAATGTCATTTAAGGCTTTTGTTGGCCGTTTCTTATTGGCTTCAATCGCACAAGAACTTTTCCACATGACATGTGACAGCAGAAGTACACAACTTCAGCACCTTTGGATTATCGGCATTAGGGCCTGCAGCTTTGCCTTGTCTGAGTGTTTTTAGCTGCTTCCTCACTTGGTGTATGAAGTGTGTTAGTCTGGAGTGGCAAAGATAGACATAGGCTCTTGATACCAGTATATTTAAGCAAATGCACTGGTGGCTTATCACATGCTATGTGCTAGGAAATTTTGAGCATAACATCAAGTGTTAGGAACTCTCATCAAGTGTTAGGAACTGAGTCAGTGATTGCATCAAAGGAGGATGAGGTAGCTTAGCATATCCACGCATGTATGGTCATGACCAGAAGATAATGAATGGACAGGAAGCCTCTGTGAAAGCTGGTTTATCTCATTCGTCCATGTACAGCTGTATGTACTGATTTGTGACTGGGCTGGGTATAACCAGTGATGTTCTTCAGGCCCCTCCACATTTCCCTTGTGTTTACTTTTAACAGCTTTCTATAATCCTGCATGGCCTGTCTTTATTTATCCTGACTTTTAATTTCCTACTTATTGATTTTCTTTATTTCCGTTAAATTAAAACTACCCTTTGGGAGGACATTGAAATTCATGTTTTGTTTGTTTTGGAAATACAGTTTAGAAACACAGTTTAGTCATGAAGCATAAGGTTTCATTTCAAAATGTTGTTAAAATCATTAAAAACATATTCACTAAGATTCACTACAGTATGCATTCATTAACCTGTCATCTATACCATAAAGCAATGTTCCCTTCTTATATAAGGAGAGTGAGGTTTTTTTAACTTAAGATTTGCATTAACATTAATTAATATTAATTTAATATATATTAAATAATAATAATAATATTAATTAATAATATTTAATTTTTATTTATTTATGTTGGTCTGAAAGCCTGAAAATGGCCAAATGTCACACTGCAGTGTATCAAAGTACAATAAATTACATAAATCATTTTAGGAGATAATGAGAATGAGAAATGATTTATTTTTCTCTCCTACAGTTATCATAAACATGATATTTAAATGGCTCCAGCAGTCTGATCCCTGTTGCCAGAGTAGGCAGGATAACTGTTGGCTATTGTAATCATTTTGGGCTGTTCAAATGGCTTTATAATTTCTAATAGATGTAATTCGTTACAGTCACATTTCTGGGCTGAATTGCCATAAACGGTGGTGGGGTCTAAACAACAATTTGGACATTCAGTCTGGCAACCTTGAAACATTTTCACCCATGCATGCATTCCATTTTCTGGCACTGACCGGTTCCTTTTTGAGCATTATTATTTTAGATTGAAGCATACCTTATGTTGGTTGTTTCTGATGCAGTCTCCATAGGCTTAGAAGCTCAAAGCCAGGGAAAGGTTCCTGGGCACTGCAAAGCAGTGCAAACTTCAGCTCCAGCAGCAGGTGTGTTGGAGAGCTTGCCTCTCTCTGGACTTGAGCCGCTGTCTTTTCAGCCTCACATCCTCTCACTTAGTATTCCAGCAGCCTGCCTGCATGCTGACTGCTGCTTTTCCCCAAAACCCAAACAGCCTTTTCATACAGGGATGCACTCTCCAGGGCTCTTCCAATGTCTCCCTCGCGTGTTGCTTACCTTCACTCAGAACTAGCAAGGTGAATACAGCACAGCACATTTTTTTGTAATAGCTTTGTTTAAATTGCAGTGGTACCCACTTGGCATGTTTTGAAAGAGGAACTTGTATGATGAGGACAATGAGACACACTCATCCCAGGGCTAACAGAGTTCGTCTGTGTGCGACTCTTGGCTCAGCCTGTGTGCAGCAATTCTAATGAGACACGTTCAGGTGCTATCCAAAGTCTGAGCAATGTCACTTCCTTCCAGCTGTATGTTTATCCAGTGAAGTAATGTGTGATTGCACTAGGAACTAAAAGAAATTGAGAAAATAAATAGGATTGTTGAGGTATCCTGCTCAAACCTCGGCTTATTCTGGTGCAAGCGGAATGTTCTCGCAGTTTATTTCCTCCTTGTCTCTCAGACACTGTAATTTATTCCATCTATCATGAATTAGTCAGGTTTTAAAAAATAGCCTCTCAATCTGATGGGAGCAGGTGATCTCAGCAAGAGAGCTATTATAGGGGGCTTAATAATAAGAAACCATTCACATGCTTTTGAGGTCTTTTTTCATGAGCAGCAACACTTGTAACCCTTATATGCATATTAAGTGTAGTAGTGAAAATGATAATTAACAAGGTGTTAATGTTGGGAGTGTATGTGCATGCAAGGAATAGGAAATCAGCATATAATAACTCAGAGGTGCTGCACTAGGTTTTGCAAGCGTCCTTCCTCATAGTGAAGTGCTTATTTGAAGCAAGTTTATGGAATAACATACCACTGAACTGAAGAAAGGTGAGTAAATCCTCTGTAAATCTGGGATTATCATGGATTCACTAACAATGCTGCATATAAATCGCAGTGTTCAATGCAAGCACTCAATTAAATGCCAAAAGCAAAAGTAAATCTTTTTGGGAGCACAAATTAATTTGAGGAGCCACATTTTGAGGAAAACTGTCTCTGTAATATGGGCAGTAATAGCCCAAGATAAAACATGAAAGAGGAAATACATACATTTGGACACACTTTAAACATCTCCTGGCAAGGTAGAAATAACCCAGAGCTGTTTGACAAATCACCACCTTTCATGCTACCTCAGCAGATGATTCATACTTTTGATTCTCAGACAACTTTTTACTTATCTCTTGCTGCTCCTCTCTTACTACTCCTGCCCTGCGAGCTTTGCTGGCCTATCTACAAGACCACGGAATTTATTTTGCTGGCTGTATTTTTTTCCTGTATATTTATTTAACAGATGATTCCCAGCAGAGGCATGGACATGCTCTTAAATGTGTATCTTAGCTTGTGGGTTCAGAGTTCAGTTCTCAAAATTTTAGATATTAAAAATGATTTTTCATGGGGCACAGTGGCTTAGTGGTTAGCACATTTGCCTCGCACCTCCATGGTTGATGGTTTGAATCCTGCCTCTGCCATGTGTGCATGGAGTTTGCGTGTTCTCTCGTGCTTTGGGGGTTTCCTCTGGGTTCTCCGGTTTCCTTTCCCAGTCCAAAGATATGTGTTGTAGGCTGACTAGAATCTCTAAATTGTCGTTAGTGTGCGATTATATCATGTGATGTCCAGTGTGTCCCGTGTCACCTTGGATGGACTCCAGGCTCCCTCATGACCCTATGTAGGATAAGTGGTACAGAAAATGGAAAAAAAATTATCTTTTATTCATTGATACTGACATAGTCTGAGTTACTAGATTAATACTTGTGTTAAGCTGGCAACTCACTGTATAAAATTGTCTTTACCCAAAGAATATGAAGTCTGTTATGGCAAAATGAATAAACATAAGCTAGATGAAAGGGCATATATTTATCTAAATGTTCCTGATGTAGTTTGATATTAAAGTCAAGAAAAAAGGGCAAAATATTAAACTAACTTTAATTTACTTTAATAATAAACCAGAAGTGAACTGGACGAGCTACAGCTCCACAAAGCCTCAGTACTCTTTAGCCACGAGGCTTATTAATCTTGGCAGAATCTCAAATCTGATGTTGCACCTTGAGCTCTATTGTACTTAGCTGAGTGAAATTAAAATGTAATTATTTGTTGGAGAGGGTCATACCTGACATCAGGGACTGTTAGATAAGACAACATTGAAGATGAAGCATTGGCTACATTCCTGTTCATGTTGCCTGGACCCTGATTAGTGGTAAAAAGATTGCTTTTTTATTAAAAAGATTGCCTTATTAGGACATAGAGAAGCATGTCTTAGTTAAGTATTCCTGGAATGGATTTATATCCCACTCTTTATATTTGTGTTTGTCATCATTTAACACATTCCCTGTGCTGATTAACGCCTGATCTTTGACATCTCTGCAGTGCATTTATGTTACAACACCATAGAGAGGGTCATGAATTGAACGTACAGGTACAGGTCATTCTTTATATATCTCTTTCACGCACATACACGTTGTCTTACTATCCTTGTGAAGACTTCCATTGATGTAATTATTAATGCAGTTAATTAATGCTATGCCTACACCTAAATCTATTCTTAGGCTTAACCTTAGTAACCAAAAATAAACTTTCTGGCTCTTTTAGTTTTTGGCTTTTTGAGAGGACGAGAAAAATGTCCCTACAAGATCAAAACTGTCAGATATTCCTATCCCTGTGGACTCATTGCCAATAATATGATTTGAAGCTAATCAGTAGTGAAGTTTATACATAAATGTAAACAAATTCTGGAGCTCTCATATGATATGAATGTTTTTCTGAACTAATTGGATTTTCATCATTGCAAAATTTACAGTGTAAATGCTTCTGCAGATGATTTACAAATACAGTTGTTTGTATTTAGAATGGCAAATGAGACCCGATGTTGGTAAAATTAATTCCAGAGATGTATGAAACAGGATAGATTTGACACCTTGCAATTAAAATGCATAAATTCTTGGACCCTGTCCCATCCTTTATAGGTATGGAGACCCAAATGTATAAATATTAAACAATGATGTTGCAGCACAGTGGCATAAAGGAGAATGGTGTTGTCTCATAACTCCAGGGTCCCTGGATTGAGCCTGAGCTTGGTTTACTCTCTGTGTTTTTTCCATTTCCTCTCCATGTTTTTCTTTTGATTTGTAACTCTAATTTGCCCCAGGTGTGAATGTGTTGTGTGTGTGTGTGTGTGTGTGTGTGTGTGTGTTTTGTGTATGTGTGTGTGTGTGTGAGCATAAGTATGATGCCCTTTGATGAACTGGTTTTCCATCCAGGGTGTATTCATGCCTTGCCCTGTGTTCCTTTGACAGACCACTATGTAGCAGTTATGGAACAGGAATGAGTGAATGAATGAATAATTATTTAATGAGTAACTGCTTGTGGTTTGAAGAGGAAAGCATAGGTCTATGAGGATACTGATGAAGCACTTCTATCTGAAGTGCAAAAAGAGCTATTTTTGAAAGTGTACACTGGTGAGAAACGGTTAACAGCCATATAAAGAAATACACAGATTTTTGGTTTGTGGTGTGAAATACACATAACAGTGGGTTTTATTGCTTTTGAATCGAAATATACATGGCATATTTATGTAGAGGGAACTGAAGTAACTTGACAGTCTGTTTCAGTGATATATGGAGAACATGATTAAGAAGCATTGAAACACTCTCTGTTTCTGTTGAACGTAGTGTTAAACTCAGTCTGACATGAAGCGATTTCTCAGTGGCACTACTTGTCTATCAAAAAGCTTTGCTAAAAATTGCTATTACAGCCATCTAATGTAAATGATTTCATATGGTGGCAATAATCAGATAGTCAGCAGTGAGGGTCTTGATGTTATGATTGTGGGAATGATCATACTTTAAAATTGGTTTAAAAAAGTGATAAAATGTCTGTTAGCTGGTTTGTACTACAAATTACTATTACAGATAATTTCTGTAATTATGTTTTTTTATGTAAATATTATTTATTTAATTTATAAATGGAAATAAACAGAAAATGTTAAAATTTTAAAACTATTAAAAATTAAAACAGTGAAAAAGAAATATTCAGTATTCAAGAATTGTTCGTCATTGTTTAAATTTAAGCAAATTTGTGACATTTGTAACTCCTTTGCACAAATGGGAGATATTCCTTGAGAATTATCTCTCTTACTGAGTAATGTGTTCAAACGACACTCCCATGGTTTTGATCTAACACAAGGTTTCCATAATCAGGTGCAATTGTGTTCCATCATTGGGTTTTATAGAAAATTGGTGAGTCCATGCCAGCTCGAGTGCAAACTGCTATTTTAGGGAGACATACCAAAGAAAAAGGGAGACATACCAAAGAAATTTCCAAATTCATATAAAATGTTCTATAAAGTTTTTGGTACTGGTTACTGCTGATAAAATAATTTGTAATTAAACATTTTGTATTAAATTAGTAAAGCATGCAATATAGAAGCATTTCCACTATAGTGGTCTCAGACTTTTGGCCCATACTGTACATCCTAGCCTATCCCAAGGAACATCAGGCTCAAGGTGGGGTACAACCTGGACAGGGTGCCAATCCATCGCAGGGCACAATCACATACACACTCACACACCCATTCGTACACTACGGACATACCAATCAACTTACCATGCATGTCTTTGGACTGGGGGAGGAAACCAGACTACCTAGAGGAAACCCCCGCAGCACGTTGTGAACATGCAAACTCCGCACACACATGGCCCCAGCGGGACTCGAACCCCCGACCATGGAGGTGTGAGGCCACTAAGCCACTGAGCACCACTAAGCCACCGTGCTCTTTAATGTTTCAGTCATCTATTTTTCTTCCAGATGACCTGGACATTTTGTTAGGATACATAGCTTCATGGACTATCAAATACCAACAGATATTAAATGAGAACTCTGCCAGAAACCTTAAAATGGGCCGTGGTTGGATCTTCGAGCAGGACAATGATCAAAAACATACATCATAATCAACACAAAAATGGTTTACTGACCACAAAATCAAGGTCCTGCAATGGCCATCCCAGTCCCCTGACGTAAAACCCATAGAAAACCTGTGGGGTGAACTGAAGATGAGAGACCACCAGTGTGGACCTCATCGGGTCCACACGGGATCGAGAGAGATTCTTTATGGAGGAATGGTCTCAGATCCCTTGCCATGTATTCTTCAACCTCATCAGGCAATATTGGAGAAGTCTCAGAGCTGTTATCTTGGCAAAGGGAGCACAAAGTATTGACTAAAAGGGTGCCGATAATTGTTGCGCACTTATATTTAACATTAATTTTTTTTTTTATAAACCCGTGTTGTATTTGCAGTTGTTTGATATCCATGAGCGCAGAGTATTTTTGTGAATTTTTTTTAAACAAAAGATCCAAATGTTAAACAATAAAAACAATTTTTCACATCCTTCTTTGCTCATATTTACCAAAGGTGCCAATATTAGTGGCGAGCACTGTATAAATAAATGGCATTGTACAGTTTGTGTGTTGGGAGCTGCTTAGCTGTTGTGCCCGCCCTCACTTGGGTGGGTTGAAGTGCAGGAGTGTTGATGCAGTGGGCTGTGGAGGAAGCTGAGTGTAAGGTTTCATTCATGCCCTGAGGTCAGATCTGCATACGATTATCAACAGAAATAGGCTATTTGCTGTACTTTAGCAGCCCTTAGTATATTACAGTTATAATACCCTGGTAGATTTGTGTGTGTGCGTATTCTAAAGAGACGTGTTAATCTTCATTATATCTGATATAATCACAGTACATCAGATTATATTTGACAATATATATATATATATATATATATATATATATATATATATATATATATATATATATATATATATATATATATATATATATATATATATATATATATATATATATATATATATATATATATATATATATATATATATATATATATATGTGTGACAATACCAACTTCACACTTAATTAGCACATTATCTCACTTAATACCTGTGAACAATAGGTTTTCATATTTCCTATTTTATGTCATGTAGTTATATTTTTTCAATATGGCACACTACTTAAACATTGTGTTAATGTATTTATTATTTATCCTTTATTTTCTACTGAGATGGAAAGTGCAAACTAAGAATTTCATTGTACAAGGAAATAAAGTTCTTTAATCTGAATGTTGAATTCAGCCTGCTACCTCTTGTACTGCAACCACAGTGTAACATCAAAGGGATAGTCTGATGAAATCTAATCCAAAATTAGACATATATTGCTGCTGAATTTGACTTCTGTGCTGCTGACCTGCAGTAAGACAGATTCCCATAAGAATGTCCTTGGTGTTGATGTGCACATTCTGTACACAAGAAATTCTTGGTGAAATGAAAACCACATGAATAATAATTACCTTGAAACTGTCTTGGCTGAATAAAAAGTTTAATGGCATGAGTTAGAAACCTCAAGCATAAAGTAGTGTTCCCACTATTTATGAATTTATTTAACAACCGTGGAGACTGATATTCTCTC